TTTGTAATTGGGTTGTTTATCTTTTTCTTGTTAAGTGCTGGAGCTTTTAATAAGTTTTACAAATTAGTTCCTTGCCAGATGTATCACTGCCAAATATTATTCCTAGTATTTAGGCTCTCCTTTTACTCTTCTGGGGAAGTCTTTTGATGCACATAAGGATTTAATTTTAAGAGGTCTCAATTATATAGTTTATCCTCTGTTGCTTATACATTTTCAGTTAAAATTTTTAGTCTATGCCATAGAATATGGCTTCAAAGTTGGCCCCGATATTTTAAACGATCTTTATAGCTTTGGTTTTACTAGAAGGTCCTTGATCCATCTTAAGTTATTGTATAGAGTGTGAAGTGTGGATCTTACTTCAATTTTCTACAAACAGACACCCAAACTATTTGCTCTGGTGAGTGAGAGGTAAAGAACTGCATCGCCAATAGAAAGGTAGATGATTCGAATCCATTAGCTGCTCCCTGGGAGAAAGATGGACAATCTACTCTATTGCAATTTACTGACTCTAAAAATCTACCGGAGGGTCAACTATGGATGAACTGGCTCTAACATGACAGTATACGACAATTTGTTAAGGAGGCTGTCTTTTCCTCACTTGATGGGTTTCATTTCTTTGTCAAAGATCAGCTTCCCATAGGTGGATGGATTTATTTCTAGGATCTCTAACCCATAAGTTTACCTATTTGTCACTGTACAAGTACCAGGCTGTTTTGATTACTGTGGCTGTGCAGTAGGGATATAAGGTCCCATATTATTTATTCCTCTTTAGTATTACTTTGCTTATCTGGTTTCTTTCCTTTCCATATAGCACTGGTGATTATTTTTTCTACCGCTCTGAAAAATGATGTTTAGGTCTAGATTGTGACTACACTGTATCTATAGGCTAGTGTTGATAACATTGCCATTTTCACAATGCTAGTTCTTCAGATCCATGAACATGATATCTTTTCCCCACTTATATATGTTTCTTGTAGCTGTATTAGTGTGTGATGAGTACCCTGGCTTCAGTTTTCCTTACTCAGTCAAAGAATTGAGCCAGATGGGAGACAAGAGGTGGGTTGGAGTCACAGAGGCACCAGAGAGTGCACCACAATTTTAGTGGCTTGTAAGAGAGGTGCTGGTCAGTGTTAGAGCACTTTAAGTGACTCTAAAGAGACCTGTCATTTGTCTTGCTTGAAGTTATCCTGACATGAGTCAAGGCCTTGTTGCAGCATGTAGAGTGTGACCAAGGCCCTGAAGACTCAATGGCAGTCAAGGTCAGGAACATCCACCTTGCTAAAAAAGAAGGTGAAGAAGTGAAAATAAAGATAGTTTAATAGCTAGAACATTTCAGAGACAGGAACAGATCTTTCTCTGAAAGGTAAGGAGTGAGAAGACAATAGGTTATGAAGGAGTTAGGTCTTAATATAGCCTCTTAGGGTTAGCTTTATGCACATGAAGGATAGTAGTGTCCAGACCAATGGGATGACATTGCTAAAGGTTCCCACTCTGGCCCACTGTGCATGAAGTCACAGTGTCTTCTTACCTACTACACATGCCAGCTTTCTGATGTGCTGACATCTTTATAAGGTAACAGGTGTAAGCCTCTTGACTCAGATTGGATGAGGACTAGTTTTTCCCCCTCTCCTGCAGCCTTCCATACAAGGCAATATACATGTCTCCTGGCTCTGACTGGATAGAGACTAGCTTTTGATCTCTGCTGGATTCTTTGCATTATATGAGCTCAGGTTGTGCTCTATTGGCTAGTTTGGCAAGGTTCCAGTAGAAACAGCACTTTTATTTTAACTTTGCTTTGGCTCTTCTTCCCTCTGCCCCAAATTATTCCAAAGTTAACTAATTCCTAACAGTAAAGTTTTGGAGTTGTCCTTATGTAGGTATCGTATCTCCAGTTACGTTTATTCCTAAGTATCTTTTGAGTGACTACTTCCAAAAGTATAGTTTTTGCAAAGGATTACTTTAAAATGTTAAAAATTAAAGATGCCACTTTGAGTGTCTTATTCAAGCCTTGGTATATATTTTCATTTGCCTTATATACAGGTGAAAGGCAGAAAAATTAGCATGGACATACCAAAGAGGAACTGATGCATTTCAATCATAGCACTAAAGAAGAATACTGAATACACGAAGAATAATTCATGGGCTGTTAGAAAAAGAAACATATGCGAAGAAGAAGAAACAGAATGTTCCTTTAAAGAGAGTGAGGCAAGATTTTGTCTCACGTCTTTTGAGTAAGTTTTCAGGAGGGCCTAGTCCTTGCTTATCATGCTTATCAAAAAGAGAGTAAAAAAGAGGATGACCCGCAATGAGATCTACATCCAATCACACAGTGAATGAAAAAAATTAGTTCAAACACAGAAACAACATTGAGGGTGGAACTAAATGGGGCAATATTTCTTTCTGTTGTATGTAAGTTCATTGTGAATTAGAACTGACACAATGGCATTTAACAACAGAACAAAAAAGAAGTGTATTTAACAGCATCTTTCAGACTACTGAAATTCTCTATGACTCTAACATACTCTGTAATTTTTACTTTCTATTTCAGAAATACATTGTTATTTTTGTCAAAATTTTTCAAACAAGTCAAGTAAACTAATTTACTGTTACATAATGTAAATAAACACAAACAAAACAAAATTCTTACTATAGGAAATTCAGGACATATTTATTAGATCAATTAATCATATTAAACACCAAACTCATTGCCATCATGCTGATTATGACTCACACTGATTTTACAGGCCAGCTAGAACTGACCAAAGGCTTTCAAGGTAATAAATCTTTATGAAAGTCGACTATACATTATTCTCCCATGGTGTGAGTTCGAACCACCAACCTTCTGGTTAGGGGCTGAGCATTTAAGCACTTACCAACAGGGCCCCTTTTAACTTTAGTAGCTAGAGAAAAAAAGGGAATGATTTCATTGATGAGTTACTATATATAATGAGGTACAAATAATGGTAAACTCAGCCTCACAACTATAATTAATACATCAAATAATAAAGTGTTAAGTATCTTTCTTTTAAAAACTTAAAACACCATGTAAAAACATGGAGACTTTTAAGAATTACCATATATAAGCAGGTATACACTAAGTAGTGTTGAATGTTCATATCAATAGTACAAAAATAATTATGCTGTCACTGAAAATAAAATGCATTGCCATTAAGATGATACAGACTCATAGCTAATGCTTTAGTGAATTTTCACATATTTGAACCACCTGTCTCAGTGTTGAGAGGGTAATTCCTTAACAACCAGAGTTCCAATACATCCTGCTGCTTCTTGTTAAATGCAGCCAAGTAGAGTCTGATTCACAGCAATCCTATGAACAACAGAACCCTGGCCTATCCTGTACCATCTCCATCATCTCTGACACACTTAGCCCACTGCTATAGTCACTGTGTCAATCCATCTTGATGGGTTGGCAATATACCTTCCTCTCTTTTGCCGACTCCCTCTTTCCAAGCATGTTGTTCCCTTCCAAAAAACAGCCTCTCCGAGCAACATGCCAAAGTATGAGAGAGAGCTTCACCATCTTTGCCTCCAAGGAGCACTCTGGATGCACTTTTCCCAGGATACAACTGTTTGTTCTTGAGGCAGTCCATGAAATATTCAGTACTCTCCTCCAACATCACAACGCAAAGGCATCAATTCTTCTTCTTTCATCCTTATCCAATATCCATCAGATGATGGAAAAGACCATGACCTGCACCAGAATCACAATAGTCTCCAAGCTGACTTCCTTGCTCATCAGTATTTTGGAGAGGTCTCTGATAGTGGACTTTCTCAAGATAGTATGTCTCCTGACTGCTTATTCCAAGGATGCTGACTGTTGATCCAAGCAGAATGAAATCACTGACAACTTCAATCCTTTCTCCATCTATCATAATTATCTGTTGGCCCTGTGGTGAGGACCTTTGTTTGTGTGATGTTGAAACATAATTCATACCAAAGGTGGTAGTTATTGATTTTCTACAGCAAGCATTTCAAATCCTCTTCACTTGACAACAAGGTTGTGTCATTTGCATAACTCAGGTTATTAGCACTCTTCCTTTGATGAGTCCAGCTTCATGAACTATTTGCTCAGTATAGAGACTGAATGTTGTTGTTGTGTACTGTAGAGTTGAAATTGACCCATAGCTGACCCTCCAGTGGGTTTTCAGAGGCAATTAATCACACAGGAGATTTCCCATCCTCTGCAGAGCAGCTAGTAGCCTTAAATTGCATGCCTTTGGGATTGTAGCGCAGCTTCTTGCCACTAGGCCACCAGAGACTGAATAGGTATGGAAAAAGCATACAGTCCCAATAAATATCCTTCCTGATTTTAACCTATGCAATGTTCCCTTGCTTTGTTTGAACAACAGCTTCTCAGTCTGGTATAGGTTTCACATGAGCACAATTAAGTGTTCTGGATTCCCTTTCTTCTCAATGTTAGCCCTAGTCTGATATGATCCACAGTCAAATGCCAGTACACTCTAGTAAGATGTAAGTGAGAAGGGTTGCTTTGTTCATTAAGTTGTAACTTAATGAAAAGATCATTGGTTTTTAAAATTATCTTTTGTTGTTATCATTATGTGCTGTCCAGTCGCCTGACCTATGTACAGCAGCTCTTATGCCTACCCTACTCTGAGCCAGTCTCACTAACTCCGACACACCTACCCCCAAAGTCTCAGTTATTGTATCAATCCATCTCATCCGTGGTCTTCCTCTCCTGTGCTGTCCCTCCAACCTTCTGGGCATGATGTCCTCCTCCAAGGACTGGTCCCTCCTGGCCACATGACCAAAGTATGTGAGACAGAGCTTCAAAATACTAGCCTCCAAAGGGAAATTTGGTTTCATCCTCTCCAAGACAGACTATTTTATTTGGGAGAAAGATAAGCAATCTTTCTGTTTCTGAAAACCCTATGGAGGATGAGCTATGGATCAAGTCCTGCTAAGTGGCACACAACAACAACAACAACAAACTAGAGAAGAAACAGCAATTATTCTCTTACCCAAGATGCATCATGAACATCAAAACAATCTTGGAGTTCATTGTGTCTCCTACACCCATAACCACCAAAATATATTAACCTGGAAAACAAATACAAAAGGTCACATTTTAAGACATTTATTTCCAGTTTGTGGAAGGTTGAAAGAAATAATTTTTCTCATTCTAACAAACAAAAAGTCAAATAAGCTACAAATCATAGTTTAAAAAAAATTTAGTGAGCTAAAAGAACAAAGAGATCTAAATGTACAACATTTCAGAAAGTGATGAGCCCTCATTAGGAAAAAACAAACTCTACTGCTTTCATCCTTAGTGTAACAGCAAAAGAAAAAAGCACTAAAAATCTGAAGAAAAATCAAATGAGGTTTTAACAGTCATAGAGAGGCTGCATTGCTATGTGCTGTTGAGTCACCAGTGACTCATAACGACCCTATGTACAGCAGCTCTGAACCTTGTCCTGAGTTAGTCTCACTGATTCTGACCACACCTACCAACCACTGCCGCAGTTACTGTATCAACCCATCTCATCTGGAGTCTTACCTGTCTTTATATACCCAGCAAGAAAGTTTATCACGTGGTGTCGGTGGTTGTCCTTCAAAGTTGGTGATTTTTTCCCAAACATATGTTCCATCTCTTGTTTGCAAATTAACAAAATAAAGCTTTTAAAAGATGAAAACATTATTAACACAATCCAATAACTCTTTATCAGAAGGCTTTATCTTCTAAAAATCAATAATATTACTTCTTTTAAATAATTAAAAAATTTTAATTATAGAATTTAAAAATGTTAGTTTGGAAGCAAAACTGATACACAAAATACATTGAAATGAATCTTTTGCCAGCATGAGTATCAACTGAGTATGTAGTTATTTCTCAAGCAGAGACATATGAAAGAAGTGCAAGACTGCTGCATCAAATTAGCTCCAAAAATCACAAATTTAACCAATATTCTTTTTTTAAATATTTGTGAACTTGGAAAAGGAAGTGATATATTAAATATTACGTTTTGCAGCACTTTTTAAATTAAAAGAATGTATTACTCGATTGCTGTATCCTTTGTCATCATATCCTCCAAAAACATACAGCTTTCCATTAATGTAAGCACCACAGCTTCCTGACATAGAGGTAGGGAGTTCTCCTTCCATTAGATGCATTGTCCTGCAGCAAAAACAATACAGAATCCCATCATTTTCCAGAAAAACAACTAAAAATGTCCCTTGAGCACCGCACCATGAGTACTTTTTCAGTGGAGATTGTTAATTTAAATGTAAAGGCATGTGAATACTGTGAAAATCGAAGATTCATGGTAAGGACCTTCAACCTATTGAAAAAATTATAAAATTTCCCCCACATGGTATCAGAACTGTGAATTAGGATTAAAGTAAAATCTTCAAAGATAGCACTGGCATTCAGAACTATGTTGTTGTTGTTGTAATGTGCCGTTTGCGACTCATAGCGACCCTATGTACAACAGCCCTAAACCCTGCTCTATCCTGACCCAACTGCATTGCCTCTGACACACCCATCCTGATTACCCCAGTCACTGAATCAATCCACCTCGTAGAGGGTCTTCCCCTCCTGCGCTGTCCCTCCACCCTACCAAGCATGATGTCCCTCTTCAAGGACCTGTCTTTCCTTAAAAGATTTAAAGAGGGTAAAGCAAGGGAAAGAAGGAACCACAGAGAATTAAACACTAAGAGGAACAACTTAATAAATGCCATAGTAGTTTGTAGTCTTTAAATCACCTGTAGTCTATAAAAATATTTTAAGATGTTAAGTTTTGTCATTCTGTAATTTCTATAATTACTTACCACAACCCACTGTCAATATCATAGGTCCAAATTTCATCATTAGGCAAATATACTTCATTATCTTCAATTGACTAAAAACATAAAATACATAAAAATGTGTTTTGTTAACCAAAAGTTTGCATGGCAGTATTTATATGGTTCCTCAAGACAGAACAATTGTAAATAAAATACACAAAATTGTAAGCAGACTATTAATCCATTTCAATACAAATTTTTTCTTTTTTTATTTT